TACTATCTAGACACATCCAATATAAATTCTTTATCTCAGTAAAAGTACTAATTTAAATATCTGTAAATACAGTATTGTATATACAAATACTATGTTTCATACTCAGGGTATGAGATGATTTTTAAGACTGTAAGATGCCTTACTGTTGGGAATCACAAGTTGGTTATTGGAGTCTAAAAGACATCTGTTTTCTAAAAAAAACTTTGCATTGTATTTTTCAAAACTAGCTGTAAATACATTCACAGAAATCGCTTGATTTGTACAATAAATAAATAAACAACATTTTAGTTAAAGTTTGATATAGATTATCCTTAATCAATTGCATATGTCACCCTTAGGAAACAAACCATGAAAATAATGTAGACCTCACTTTCATACTGTATCTTACTATTATTCTATGCTAACATTAAATATATATTCAATGATGTATGTATCCCCCCAGCTAGGCAGTTCTGCCACAGAGATTTATTCTTTACAAAACATGTTCTCCGTGGTGTCAGAAAACGGAATATGCAAACTTATTTCCCTCTTGACACTTCTGTGAATGACAGACAAACTTCTGGAATCTTACTTTTTTGTAAAAAAAAAATATTATTCTCAGGACACTGCAGAGAACATTCTGTGAAGAAATTGAACTACAAATATACAGCTTTACCGGGACAATTGCCGAACTTTATTGCAAAGTCTGGGTACTTTGAGAAATCAAACTCCACTCTTGCTCTGTTGGAGGATTTGTTCCGAAGGCCGAATGGAATTGCGTGTGTAGAGCCGGAATGGACCCCATGGAAGTTGAAACTCTTCTGCAAAGTACAATAAAAGCAAACGGTTAGAAGCTACAGAATTAACAGTCCTACCATTTCAAAAGAGGCTTGTTACAGAATTGGAGGCTGAGAAGAAAATGGTCTATCCCTGTTCTTGTTGCTCTGATACAGCACTTGATTTCGAAGTTAGTATTCTATGAAACTGATTCTCAGTTGTTTTTTACTTCTTATTTGCAATGCCAGCAAAATGAGTTTCTGAGAACATATCTCACAGCTGTGTGACAGGAAGCAATGTCATCTACAATCTCAAGATGCTTTGGAACCTCCGGGACTGTATCTGAAATTGAAACTCATCTTCCTTGCTTGGGCACTTTGCGTTTTCAGTTTTCTCCTGTTCAGAGCATCTGTGATATTGCTTATTTTATGGGTCATTATGGGTAATTTAGAGACTATTCTCTCACATCGCATGTGCCACTCTTAAAAACATTCTTCAGCCATGCAGTTCTCTGCATCTTATCTTTCTGAGAACAAGGCAGATAAAGTTATACTGTATGTCCTTTATAACTTTACAGGTCATTATGTCCTTTCATCAACCTTCTGTGTCTTTTTCATGGGTAGTACTACATTCTTTATACACTTTTCATAAGCTTGGATGAGGCAGGGATTTAAGGGAATATGTGGCCTTTTGACTAGTCTCAAAGGAATGGCTCTTCTACACAGAAACAATCGTGCACTGAAGTGTGTCTCAAAGCAGACGCAGTTCAGTGGACAAGTGTACAGCTTAGGCCAGTATAGAAGAGAGAAGTGTATACATGTGGGTGAATTACAGAAACAGACACGACACCTCTTTTTTAAAGCCTTTTCAACTATTCTACCTGTGGGGACCCTTTTCACAAACATTGTTTCTCACAATATTCAGAACCCAAAACAAACAGCCTACTAAACTGTAAGTTACACAATGCCTGTAAAGGAAGATGTGCAGGTATAAATTTCAGATCCCGTCAACACCTCAATACGCACTTAAACATGCACTGAAAATAACTTTTAAAAAACGCGTAAAAATATGTTTGAAAGACTTCTCCAAGACCTTAAGGCTTTAGATTTTAGGTGCATAAAACAAAGAAGAATCTATGCACAAATTAGGTTTTTGGTTCAATTCATTTCAGAATATTTTTAAATATGAAAAAAATTGTGTAGCATTTCAGTATTTTCTCTGACAGAGCAATTATCATTCAAATGATAATAAAAGAAGAAATACATGTAAATACCAAAATATATCGATCCTTTGCTGTGATGTAAACATAATGGGTGATTTTAAGAACTGTAAGATGCCAAATTTATTTTAGGCAACTATCACTTTAAAAATCGAGCCAGATCATATTCCCAAAAGAGTAAGCACAAACTGTGCGCTCTTAAAGAAAGAAATCAGGTGAAGATGCAGTCTGAATATGTGATTTATGTGAAAACTATCACATTAGAAGGGCAACACATTAAGCTTCCATTATATACTGTAGTTACACCTAGTGATGGGTTACCCATTTAAACACAGAACTCAGCTTTTTCCATGAGATTTTTTAAGGTAAAGACTACTGAACTTCTACTTCAACTGGTATGTTAGTTAAAAAAACGGTAAAGCTGGTGCATGCAAGCAAATGACAATATTGTTGAACTACAGCTAAAACAACATAACTGTTGCTTCCCCTCAAACTCCTACTATAGATCCCATATTTTTAAATAATCCACTGCATTGCATTAATTTTGATAGTTCAATTAAAAGCTTTTTCATTATCTGAAATTTCTAAATTAGGTGTTTTTTCGCTTAGAATAAAATAGTTTTCCTCATGTTTTGTGTAAGCACTGTTACTGACAAAATACAACATCAAATCTATAGCTGTGTATCAGTACACAATTCTTAGAATTCAGACTACTAACATGAACAATATTTTGTCATTTTAGTTCATTCTTACCACATTTATGTCTACTTCAGGGGGTTCCACGGATCCACCTATTCTCAATTCCAGAGACTTCATGTTTCGTAATGCAATCTAACGGAAACGTAATTTAGTTTTTAAAAACTATATATGCTATCATGGCACAAAATTTAAAAAAACAGTCTTGTTTTAAAGTAATTCAGAACTGATGTATTATGTGAAGTTAAAGCTGACTTTTTGAAAGACACCGTATAAAAAAGCTACCATAAGACTATTGTGCAACTCATTGCTCAATCCAAGATTCAAGAATTAAATTAAACATTATTCTGTTTCTCAAATCTTAAAAAGTGAAAGGGCTGGAAAATGGAGCTTTCCAACTCAATAAATACTTCACAAACTACGTACAACTGAGCCCTCCCTTATATGCATTAATTATCCTTTCCATAGGTAAAAAGGCAGCTTAAAGATTTACACAAATTATCTTATTTGTTCAGTCCATTTCTTTTCTTGTTTTAAGTTAAAGGCTACTTTCAAACTAGTGTTCCTTTCCATATTGCCAGGGGGTGCAGTAACTTCGCAAGATTACCCTTTTTTTCCCTAAATGTTGATCAAAACGTATAACAATAGCACAGAGATTCCAGGTTTTCCTACCCCCCCCCCAAAAGAATCTACATACCGTATCTACAGTTTGAATAAACAAGCACGAATGGATGCGTATCAGTGAGACGTTTAACCCCTGACCTCCACTCTGGTGTCGAATTTCATGACTGCGCCAGGGGTGAAGTGCACCCGGAGTTCGGTCTGACCGCCCACCGGCACGACCCCTTCAGAGGGCGTCACCATCATCCCGGGCAGCGGGTACACATCCAGGACCTTATGGAAATAGGCAATTCAATGTCTCCCACCCTTGCAAGTGCAGATTTCTAAGTCTCCATCTCAGAATTCAGTCATAAATTAAAAAAAAAACAGCCATTTCACGTATTATTCAACACATTTCTTTACATGTACAATACGTTACTTAAATAACATGCAGGGAATATGGGTTAAAAAATATAATGGCATAAGAGCCTACCTGAAAATATGCGTGGTTTTGACCTGTGTTTTGAAGAACAGCTGTTTTGACGGTGGTGAAATTGAGCGCAACGCCATCAAATACTAAGTGCTTCTTAGTCAACTGCACATTTGTTCGACCAATCTAGGGACAAATACACAGGAAATCTAATAAAATCATCATTATACGAATGACTGCTTTGTTTTTCCGATATCAAGTCCCATTGTTCTTTCATTTGCAAAAATTTGTAGTATCGAGATTCAAGATTAACTTGCCAAATGATATCATCTTTAGTTAAAATTACAATTACAAATGAAACATAATGATCCCAAAGTTTTGTAGAGATCACAGACAAATAATACTATAAACAAATAACACGCTTTATTCTCACATAAGTATCTGGTGCTATTTTAGCAGTGTGAAAAACATTTTTGGCTTATCAAACTGTGTTACTAGTAAATCATAGGAGATCATTACAGTTTATTAAACTTACAGTTGAGGTGAACATAACCTATTATACTGAAGTACTGTATGTTCCAGAAATTACAATGTTCCAATCTTTTTAAAGGAGTTTTTAAAGTAGTAGAGAAATTAAAAAGTTACACACCCCTAATTAATTATACACCAAAACTGATGACTTATCATTCACTAGCTGAACAAACCAATGAATGTAGATACTGTATGCCATGCTTACATCCCCTGCCCCTGACTTACAGTACGTGACAAAGCTACGACTTTCATCTATGACTGGTTTATATTAGTTTGGGAGAAAATTGATCTCAGATTGCGAACAGCAGTCTTTTTTCCTTGTATTTCACAGTCTTCAGCATTTTTCAGTATTAAAGTAAAACTCAGGCGAGCTGTCTATCCATTAAACATTAGCAAATACTGCCAGTGTGATGAAAGCTAAGATATCAAAAGACAGGAAGATGTACCTTGGCAACACATCTGAGCCTAGTGGTGTTGCCATGGTGAACACACAGGTCGAAGTGGCCCTCCTGTGGGGAGAAGTATGATGGATGCCACACCACTTCACACTCCAAATCCTTGTAGGCCTCCACTGCGCCTGAACATACAAAACACCGTCTTAGCACCTCACAATACCCTGCAGCACGTTACACATACTGTAAGGACAATCAAATCAAGGCACTTGTAAAATAGAGAACCATTCAATGGAAACAGAAAGAATTAAATTCATCTGTCCATTTTATTCCATAAAAAAAATAAGGGAGTGTCTCCCCCCCCAAAAAAAACTAGCAAATATCATTAATTATCTCTCATATTTTCTATTACAGTTGTTTAGCAACAAAATGCATTGCTTTTAGTTAGTCTGTGCAGTTTAAAGAAATTTAAAAAGTAATGGTGTTGCAATGAGTGAAAGACATTTACCGTTTCAAACCCATTGCTTAGCCATGAACTACACAGTTACTTCAGCACAAACAAGGGAATGGTTTTAAATCAGCCAGGAAACCACATCAACAACTGACCCATTCGACCACCCCCAAGCTGGCGATCTGCACTCCACTCATTCACATCGGCATCAGATGTACCATGCCTTCAGAAAGCTGTGTTTTCTATTACTGCCAATCAAACTGACAAGGTGAAAAAATGACCATTTGACCAGCATTTTTCTGTGTATGCTTGAAGTATCACAAAGCAATAACTAAATCATTTATAACCAGTCTAAATGGGGTCTACATCTATAATATTATTGGGTCTTTTTGACTTGCACCTTAAGCATTCACCCAATCATTCCAGCGAAGCTCACTGCTTGGCCTTGATTAGTTTATTGTATTCATTTTAGTGCCTTTGTCCATTTTTCTGTTTGAGACATGTCAGATGGAGAAAGGTTCAGACAAAGCACAGATAAAACATCTTTGACTATACTTTATATTTGCAAGGTGAAGGCACACAAAACATGAAACAGCTTCAGAATTGATTTGACTACCAGGATACTTGTAACAGGCGAACATGCTTTCCTATATCAAAACATCACAGTCCTTTGGCACTCCAGTGCTCCCCCTGATCCTGGCAGCCAGATCATATGATTTGACCCAGTTAGATATTTACCAGTGGCAGGTCGAATGGAGAACGCTATGCCACGTTCAGTGATGATAGGCTTCCAGGTGAACTCCGCCAGGTGGTTTCTTCTGTTGTGTAGTGTGACCGTGGTTCTGTATCCAGACTCGGCCAAGAAGCTGTGCGTAGGGGTCAGAACTCTCTCCGAGGTAGACAGCTCCAAAGCTACAGGGATAACAGTGGCCAGAACCAGAACGTGGCCTGTATGCTTCTTGTTAACTGTGTAGGTAATCGACCTACAAAATGTTTGAAAAAGTCAAAGTATGAGGTTTTCAATGTATCCAATGACATACTACACATTATTTTTTCACCCACAAAGACAGGTAAAATATAAACAGTATATCAAAGACAAAAGCATCTACAGTATATACTCCACTGCTACCGAGATGTTGGCCAATATAGAAGTCTATACATCTCTCTCGTAAATGACTTTCATCCAGCTCTGTAAGCAAGTGGTGGCAAAAATGAGGGAAAGTAAGAACTAAATAGGAACAAAAACACAAGACCCTTGCATTATAATGGCTGTCACCACTTGTCATCTATTGAACTTCTTGGGATATATTCTTATAAATAAGAATAAATAACTTAAATAAGATCCCTAGAGACTACTCAAGGCAGCTACAGCACAAACTGTATAAGGAACATATACAGTACTGAGCTAGAGATGGCTGCCTAGTTAATCTGTGTATAAATTGCAAGATCCATTATTTAAAATTTAACTTTACAGAACTGTATACAAAATAAGTGGTACCAGATATAGTAGTGATGCAATATCTCACGCTGGAAATAAAAGCATCCATACATTTCAGAACTTACTTCTGGAACTTGCCCAATTTATTTGTCTCAAACACAAAGGGCAGAAGAGCTCTGGAAAAAGGTGGTACAACATGGGACAGTGGACTAGATTGTTGCAGCTCCTGACAATCGATCTCAGCCTGCACCCAGACGTGTACGGGCAAGTTATTGACAATGTTCAGCTGTCTTGAAGAGACTGACTGCACACAGACTTCACCAAAGTCTACAGTGGAAGGTCCTGAAACAAAACAATACTTGTGAACAACATACATATTAAAAAACATATAATAATATTTATATATAATATATAAAAAATATATAATATTTTTTGGCTTGGAAGAACAGTAAAAACATTCAAGATTAAGTATTGAAAAACATATACAGTACACAGTATATTGTGTAAACTGGTGAAATTCTTCTAAACTTTCAAAATGAACTCAAAACTTTTATAATTTGTAAAGGGTATTGACATTTTCTATACAGTGAACAAATACACTGATTTAAGATGGTGAACATATCCCTAAGAAACTTGCTCAAAGAGCTACAATGTTTTTTTTCTATACCCACAAGTTCTGAATCAGCAATTAATTTTCCTAGCTGGCAGGTTGGCAATGCACAGGAAAACAAAAAGGGCAGATACAATAATCCAACTCACCTAGCCATCAATCCATTAATCTTTAGACATGCTACACCCTCTGCAGCATCTAACAGGAGAGATGGTGAATCTCTCCCTACAGACACTACAAGCCTGCATGCTCTCAGGAGATTACAGTGTCTGCCTGATAGCCAAAAGAGCCCAAGGCAACTAATCCCAACTCCAGCAGAACTACCAGCAAAATTACGCCTATAAAAACATTGCTGATCTTACCAATGATAACTTGATGAAGTTGCTGTGCTGTTAAGGTTTTGCTGCAGTCTTCTATTTCTTGAGTGGTTGAAGGAATAACATTAAACCCTTCAGTGACCTGATCAGGCAAGAACATTGAGATGTCTTTAACCCACCATTTCAAAACGGAACAAAACATAGCATGGACAAAGATCATTGAAATAATGTCATTTTCAAACATTTATGCACGGTTTTACAGTTCACATAACTCCGTGCCAGGTTCTTAACCATACAAATAACAGTTATGATGTATTGATGGATACATCAAACAGTATTCTATGTATACTATTGTATATCTGCTCTGTATAAAATTTGTATCCTTTGTATCCTTTTGTATTTCTGATTCAAAACCATCTCTAGTCCCTATACAGTAGGTTGCTGACTAGTACATATTTGGAGGGGAGGTCCCTATGTCATTTCCCAGAGATAACAGCAAATTTAATTAGACTTACACATCTGGATGTGGATTGTGTTTCTATTGCAGCCAAGGTACAAGTAGTTAAGAGTCTGCTTCTCCTTAGAGAAGGCCATTCTTCTTTTGGTTCCAATTCCATGTCACGAAGTGAAAGTCTTCTGGGCCGCAGTCCTGCCGCTGGTTTGATACCTATGTCTACTTCATCTTTGACATCCGCAAGCTCTCTAGAGACCAAACGAGATTGCTAATAATCAACCTGTTTTCACAATCAGCAGTACAATCCTTTTTTTAATTTATCATTCATTATCAAACTCGTTCTGTGTTTAGTGTTATGAACACTTCTGCACTATGTGATCTGGAATTTGCCCTTAATGCATTCATTCCTTTTGCAAGTATGGGATGATAAAAACCTCTGTAAAATTGTTGCAATTCAGGACACTGTGGGAAATACATCTCATGTCTCCTTCAATGTTTAACAGAAGTGGCCATTTTCTTTACAATTAAAATAATCTCAAAACTTCACTTGTGACTCTCTCACAATCAACTCTCATAGAAAAATGCTCTTCCTGCTACTCTTAGCCAAATACTTCTACAGTCTTCTTAATACATAAGATTTCACTGTCATTATTCTGCTTTACTCATTACTAACATTTTGATGAATAACTATATGACACTCATTTATTCTGAATCTTGAGGACTAATGTACTGTGCATTAAAGGCCATTAATTTTGTAGTTATATTTCCTGTATTTAAAAATGAAGCTAATGGAAAATCAGAGTCCTCTCACTACTGTTCTCAGATAACAGCAAATAGGGTTGGTCTCTTTCATTTACAATCACAACCTTTAGAGATCAATGCTCTTTGATTATATTGGTTATCAATTTCCAAATATAGGAAACTACATCCTCATTTGCACAGTTAAGGGGGTGGTCTTTTTAGCTGCAACAATGATTGCATCAAAGAGACCTACGGTGGTACATAGATGTCAGTCCAAAAAAAGGCATTCAAGGTTTAATCTAAGTGGTTATACCTTACACAAAATTGGCTGTATTGACCCTTGAGAAACTGAAAATGGCATTAGTTACTCACTAATCTATACACAGTAATTTTAATATGCAACAATTGTATTCCAAATTAGTCAATAAACTATTATCTTAATGAAAAAGAAAATTCAATGAAAAGAAAGAAAATGCATTGACCACCATACAGTACCTTTCTTTTGCCTTTTGAAGACGCGTTTCTCTCAGATTCTGGATGAACTGAATGTAATAATCTTTATGTGCTTTTCTCTGCCTCTCTTCTTCTTCGGTATAGGCAAAATCTGGGTCCACGTAATTGTACCTTTCCACTTTTGTAAAAATTGACCTGAAATAAAAAAAAATGTGAAAGGAGTCATTTTTTTTAAAATACATCAAGAGTTAAAACGCAGGCTCTGCACATACACATACTGTACCTGTAGTGCTCATTTCTGGAGTGAGGCCGTATACTGGCAGAGCGATCATTGGGAAAAGCTATCAGATAGTTTCTGTCCAAGCTCCTGCTTCTCTTCTGGGTGTGAATATTTGACTTAGTGGCACTTAGCACTGCCATCCGAACTGAGGCAGAACATTTAGCCAGCTCATCTGTGCCTACTTCCACACCCTGCCCTGTTTCATTGGTGACTGCAGGTGTTATGCCTTAAGGTAAAATACAAAAGTAAACATTAAAATTGATTGTTTCTCAATATATATGTATTTGTGTTGTTTGGTAAATAGTGACACCTATTGTCAGTACTGTGTGACAAAACAACCTACTTACCTCTGTTAAACCTGGGTTGTATCTTTCTGGTTAGAGGTTTGCAGATACCAGTAAAGCTAAGACTTATCTGATGAAAAGGCCTGAAGGTCATCTGAATGGAGGAGCTGTCCAGCACAGACACCTGGCCCAATATATCTATAAGCTGATTCACTTTAAAAGATCCTATCTGATGTGGTGCAAAGGAAAACATTACATCCTGTAAATAAATAAACAAGAATTAATTTGACACCCCAAGAAGGCTCCACAGCCAAAACATTGTGTCTCTTTGTTTTTCAGCAGGAATAAACTTTTACTTGTTTCTTTGCACCCTACGTATGCTGACACAGCTACTTACTTGAACTACTTAAACAATAATTATTTTCTTTCATTGACTACACAGCTCAGCGATCACTGTATTACTAATTTTAATTGGAAAAAACTAACCAAACCTCTTTCTCACCTCTTGTTTATAACTCTCTCCCCTTGTTTTCCCAAAAAAGGAAGTAGTCATTAAAGTCTACATTTTTATTTATATTTCATTTTATAATATGTGAAAAGCTGTGTTTGAGCACGTTTTTACAAATCTGTGCATGCACTTACAGAACTCAATTTCATCATTAACCTACAGAAGCAATTGTATTCTCAAACCCCAGAAGACTATAACAGAGGGACATCTAGTGGCCACATCTTGATATTGCAGATTATAAATCTCGATCTTGAGTGCATGAGTGTGTGTTTCACTGGACACACCTTCACAATTTATCCTTTAATCCAAAGTCCCAAGAAAACATGTTGCCAAGCAATACATCTGTATTTTTGAATATTTTGTTAATTCAAAAATGAATAATGCATTATCAAAACCTAGTCTAAAATACTGTGAACAGTTTTGGACACCCCAATTGGTATTGCAGTACTGGATTCAGTCCATGTATTCAAAATTCAAAAAAGGACCAGAGGTGGCATTAAAACTAATTCAACTGATTTCTACAGAATTATCAGTGAAAATCTAACCAGAAGAAACATGTAAAAACTACAAGTGCATTTAAAACTGAAAATAAGAGGCACAAAGGGTTGTAGAGGTCTAGAACATCCTAACCAGCCAACCTCTTGACAAGGACATCATTCAAGAAAACATCTGGATTCTTGACATTCTTGGGGCCTTTAGATACTGGCAGCCAAGCATCTTAGATGCACCAAATGGCTCCCTTTCAGTTGTAACTTGTTTTATATTCCTATATTGCACTGATACTTCTGTAGATTGTAAAAATGTTGTGCTCAGAAGTATGATGCTTAACCCCAACCACCACAAACACAGCCATATGATTTTTATATATTTCAAATTGGAGAACATTCAGAATTGCCGACCTGTGGAGATCATACCTTCCCAGAAGATAAATGTAATACTAAGAAGAGAAAAAAATATTTGTTTACATGTGTTACGTCCCAGTGTGTGTTCTCTGTGTTTTTTTTTCTGTTATGTCCACACTGCTGACCCTTGATTGTTGTCCCTTCCCCATTGGCCCACCATTACACCACACTTTCCGTATGATGTCATCATCAATTAGCTCTCAGCCAATCAGAACTCATTTTATTCACTATATAACATTGAGGCTTTCAGGAAGAAAAGGCCTTTCGTTTGACTTCGGTCCCGTTTGGTTCTGGTTATTGCTTTGGCTTCGCTTCTGGTTATTGCTTTGGCTTCGTTTGTTGGTTTGTTTTGCTTTGTGTGTGTGTGTATTTTCGTATAGCTTTGGCTTTGTTGTTTTGTTGTTTTTTTGTTAGTTTCTTTGTACTTTCGTTTGTTTGTGTGTTCATCCTTGTTTTGCCATTACCTTGCCCCAGTGTTACATGTTCAACTTTTGTGTTCTTTTGTACCCTGCTCCTGTTGATTACTCTTGTTTTCCCTTATTTGTATTCCTGGTTCACTTGTGTTTTTGTGTGAACTTTTGTATATAAGGTTAGTTTAGGTTGTTGGGTACACTTAACACACTTAATTGATTTAGTATTAGTAACACTACTTTAGTACGGGTGAGTGCCGTTTGTCTTGTATGGTTTTGGGTAGTCAGTGCAGGTTAGCTAGGGTGTTGAAGACGCTGAAGACCGTGTGTTTCGGGTTTTCTTTTGTAGTCAGATTAGCTTTCCCTCACTGTCCTAGCCAGCTCCATTTTGTTTGTTATTTTCATTCCTTTGGCACCACTCTAGTTCCTTACCCTTCTTATCAGGCTTCCTAGTCCCTCACCAAAACCCCCCTGCTTCCAAAAGAATTATCCTAAATGTTACACCCCTATACCCCTAGACACTTGGGGATGTAACAACATGTTTTGATCCAGGTCCCTTTGATCCTTTTTTCATGACTTAAAAGGAGTAAAAAAATTAAAGATTAAAGTGATGCTATACATTATGCTCATTGAAATGGTTGTCTTCTTCATAAAGAACTTAGCTGTTGATACTATACTATTGCCAAGATAGATGTCTGATCTGGCAAAATATTTTTCAATAACACTATGTATAACAATAGAAAAAAACAAACAAATATTACCTGCTGCAATCCAGCATCAATTTTCCCTTTTGAAGGAGAGATGATGAAATTTGCAGTTTTACGGAATTTAAAGGCCACAGGAAGCAAGGTGGATCTGTTGTTGAGCACACAAAGGACATCAACACGTTCCCCCATATGGCACTCATCAAAACTGAAGCACGGTCCTGGAACAGGTATCAGTGATACTGAGAGCCCAGTCCCTGTTATGGCTAATTCAACGCAGCTCCGTTTATTATCTGAAGAACACATTAAGAAAAGAGTAGTAAAAACAATAAATAAATAGTTAATAAAAATAGTAAATAAAAACGGTGATAAAAAGCAACTGCTTAATCTCAGATGTGTCTACTGAAATTGCTGTTGTAGAAAGTGCACATACTGAAGGTACATTTTTATCAACTATTTACCTGATTAAATGCAGCACTAGAGTTACAGGATTGATGAGGCATAATAGGAAGGTCTGTATTTTGTCACCAAATGGAGTCAGTGTATTTGAATAGGAAAGGAAAGCAAAACGAATATGCTTCACAAGAGCAGAATGCATTAAAGGTAGAATTGAGATATGGCTTTTTTGTAACTTAAGTAAATTATTCTAAACAGCCCCAGACTTTTTTGTTTACCTCTGCTGGGAAGTATTCCATTGACCTCATGCTGAATGAAGCTATCTTTGCTGCCAACAATCTCAAATTTCATGAAAAGGGCATAGTCCTGTTTTGCAGGCTCAGCAGAATTAGTGTCATCTCCATTATCCCTAGAAAAGAGGGAAGTGAAACCATTCAATTAGTAGAACTAGCTGTAAATAAGCAACTTCTAACACTCTAACAGAGATACAGTAAGTACTCTGACGTTTTTATGACAACAGCAGTCAACATATAGTAATACACCGACTATAAAAAATTTAACCCATTTTAGTGCACTCATACCTGTATGAATAATAACTTTTATTAGAACTCTGGTTATTCACTTTTCTAATCATCACAAAACGATAAACACAGTATACCCTTGGTTTAACGGACTAATGAGGGAAGGGGTGCCCATTATTTTTCGAATGACCATTAAATCACAGTTAATGTCTTTTCAGCTGAAAAAATATACTATTATATTAGAAAATGTATACTATTTATATGCTTTCTTAATATATTCCGACTTTTTTAACACATGAAATCAACACAGTCAATGAAAATTGTTCCTGTGCCCTTTTTATCAAATATATAAACGCTCTACTGTGTCATAATTGCACTGTATAAAATTCACTAAAGCATAGGAAACACAAACAACACCAATCGTAAGCAATGCACCTACCCATATACTGTAGGGCACCACTGATATTCTTGAATATTAAACTTATGTAGGATTAATTTTTACTTTGATGTTTTTTATTTGCGCATTCCCCTGTTATTTGAGGAAAAGACTAGTATTTCTGTTTTACAAACAAAATTCCCCTCTAGCAGATTCCGCTAAATCCAAAGTCTGTTAAACCAACATTACTGTACTGTAATGATACAGTCGTGAAGAACGCCAGAGGAAATACAAAGAGGATTACATGAAGCGAAACACCTGACAAACCTGTTCTATAGGAAAAAACGTACATATTTTATGCCAGAGAGTTAGAGAGTTTTGTTTATGGTGCGCTATTTCATTTTAGAATTATAATTAAGTTCCTGAATTTTCTGTATACAGCACTCTTCATCTCCAAGAATTCCAAAGCACGTCGGGTGTTGGAGGGGACCAACCTCATCCGCGCTATAGCGCAGCACCCACCTGGACGACATGCAGCAGCTACACAGAGGATTAGGCAAGGGAGTGGGAAATTACCTCACCAGCTGAATTACGTTTAGTCAGGCAAGGTACAAGTAGTGCAAGCCCAGAGCAGAAGAGAGCTGGGACACCAGCAATAACATCCTTAGGCTTCCTTAGTGCTACAGTATGGGAGGTTTAATGACAGAGAAGCCAGGACCTCGGTTTAATGTTGTGCTGGATAAGAGGGAGAGCACCTCCTCACAGCAGAGTAAGGATCTGCAACCTTTGGCTGGAAGGTTGCCAGTTCGTATCCCGCGGCCAACAGAGGAATCCTACTCCGTTGGGCCCCTGAACAAGGGCCTTCACCCCAGCGGCTCCAGGGACGCCGTATAAATGGCTGACCCTGCGCTCTGACCCCAGCTTCTCTCCCTGTCTGTGTGTCTCGTGGAGAGCAAGTGAAAAGACAAATTCCTAATACACGAAATTGTATATGGTCAATAAAGTGATCTTATTTTATAGTACAATATGTCACCATACTAGGGCACTGGAAATCCTAATCCAGAAGGAGGAATGCCATCTGTAAATAAACACCACTTACAGCAGCAGCCTGGGTTTCATTAGCGCGGGGATCACCAACCCTGGTCCTTGAGAGCCCTAATTCAGCAGGTTCACAATTAACTCACCATTTACAGAGATGTGGAATTAATCCACGGCAATAAATTAAACAGATGATTTGCTAGATTGGGCAATTGTCAAATCATTTCAGTCTAAACTTTCAGCACTCAAGTCCCAGAGTTCTCTTCATTGAGCATACTGCTGGCTTGGATCATCAGCAGCTGACTGTTGTTGCCAATCTTGTGACCTGTATGGCTAACTGGGGCTCTCCAGGAGCAGGGTTGGAGACCCCTGGCTTAGAGGTCTACTATCGCATTACCAACCAGGCCCAGCTCTGCCTACCTTCTGAAATCTGAGTTGATCAGTTTACAGTGTGGAAACTCTACTGCTTGGTCTTTACTTGGGTTTTGCTCATTTTTCCGGTTATTATTATACCTGCAGTAGACGGGACTGAAGCATAAGGAGATTGTTGTCTTTTCATAGGGACCTAGCTTCCCTTCATTGGGAACACAAGATATCACGGCTGAAGCGTCCACTTCTTTAATGTCGTTTCCCAGTCTCATTTCCAGCAACGCGGCATCGGTGCTCTGTTCTGTATCAGTGCCCTAGTAAAATAAAAATGCGGCGTTATAAAAACATAAAAACTGCATTTCAAACAAGCACTCTGCAGTCTTCTCCAAAGTAAACTGCAATATCAGGCGAAATGAGGTCCTGATAATCGGCCATCCGGTATTAACAAATGTGCTGTGACATGAACCTTTTTCAACAAATATACAGTACATTCCCACACACACTACTATAAAAATCCAATTATTGATTAAAAAATCAACATTTCATCTAATGCCCTTCCTCAAGTGATGGCTGGTCACAGAAAATGAAAACTGTAGGCTTTTTATACTAACATGTGATTAGCAGGACATCTTTTTCCAGTTACGTACTTACCTGATATACATGTAATGATATACACGTATCCTTTCCAATTACTGTATGCAATTAACAAGCTTTGGTAGAACAAAATGTGTCTTTTTAATCTATAAATTAGTATTGGAGAGAATTATTAATGAGTGCAAAGAGTATAGTTGTTTATCAACGTTGTTTCTTGGGTGTGGCTATTCCAGCTCCACAAAATAACAGTTAAAAGAGTGAATAACATTTTATGCCATGATCCCTTATCATTATACTCAAGAAATTAACCCTTTTATTTTTTTATTTATGATTGCTTGGGTCCGAATTGTGATTAACCAAGGAAAAGAGTCACTAATTATACCATATTAAAGGCCAAAATTGGCTACGTCTTTCTAAGAGAAAAGATGGGCCTTCAAGCAAAAATAATAAAAAAGAAAATGTTACTACAACAGACAATTTTAAAATGTTTTATATGGCAAAAATAATCCTATGACGAAAAGATTACTGTAGTATCTTTTTTAATCATTTTTATAGACATTGTTTCCTTGTATTTTTTATTTGTTCATGGCAGATCCATAACATATTCCTCCTCTTCCTGACCCGCGGCAGAATGACTAAACAAGAGCTCTTACCAGTTCAGCACCCACAGCGTCATCTTGCAGCACGGCCACCCAGTCAGAGGCCTGGGGGCTGTTGTTGAAGAGGACCACTCGCTGCAGCTTGGATGTACCGAAATAGGCCGGCCCGAACCACACACACTCGAGCCTCTTCTCGCTGGTGGGGTCCAATACCTCTAGAGCCTGCTCCACCACGTCAGCTTTTATCTGTAAGACTTTGTCCTCACTTCTCTGCAGTTGAACTCTAACGCAACAAAAGGGAAATTAAATGATAATAATAATAATAATTGCTTACACTTATATAGTGCTTTTCTGGACATTCCACTCAAAGCGCTTTACAGGTAATGGGGACTCCCTTCCACCACCACCAATGTACAGCAACCACCTGGTTGATGCGACGGCAGCCATAGTGCGCCAGAACGCTCACCACACATCAGCTCTCAGTGGGGAGGAGAGCAGAGTAATGTAGCCAATTCATAGAGGGGGATTATTAGGAGGCCATGATTGGTAAGGGCCAATGGGATACCACACCGACAAGCCCGAATGAGTCAATGCTGTACATCCGCATGATTTTCTTTACGCGAGTAGTTTTATGTACCTCCCTGAACATGCAGACCCATACAGACAACAGCTCTTCACAATCTTTGGGTTCTACTGGTCACAGCATGAAAACACACCATCTCTGCACTTCATCCATAATTTCATCTCCCAGAAACGAAAGTTTCTTTGCTGGTTAGTGCGTTCTTATTCATTGCATAGCAAATATGTTCCGAAGTGGATGATTTATACATGCTTTAAAATAACATACAGTTTGGTTTTGACAAACCTTACAGCAATTTGATGCATTTGAACTATGACTTTAATATATCTTCAGATTTGAAAACCTATAATCTTTTACATTACACATATGATACTTTATTACAATTGCCTATATGCATTTGGGTAATCCCTAATTCTAGTTTGTCTCTTTGCAAATAAAAAATAGATATTTAGCAGTATATAGTGCAACACAAGTTAGGGTTCTGCACCTACAGACTCAGCAACTATACTGTAACTCCAAATATTTTGATGACATTTTCCTGAGGTTTAATTAGTACAGTGCCTTGCGAAAGTATTCGGCCCCCTTGAACTTTTCAACCTTTTGCCACATTTCAGGCTTCAAACATAAAGATATACATTTTTTATTTTATGTGAAGAATCACCAACAAGTGGGACACAATTGTGAAGTGGAACGAAATCTATTGGATTTT